TTCAAAAGAAAACTTAATGTAATTCAACATTTTCTTAGTTTCGCTAGCGGTCAAAAACAGGTAGACCCCTTTCCATACCTATCAATGAATTTTGACGATTTATGCGATTTCGTTAAAATGTTTGCAAAGTTTACCGTCGGTTCCCGACGACCCTACAATTTGTATACATTCTCGATTAGAATCACGCTCTGAAGGAACGATATCTGCCCGTGTCTACTATCTACCTGTTAGTCAATCCAGGTAAATGATATGGTAAGAAGCACAATGAAAGTAACGGTCAAAAATATTGAAGTTTTCTATTGATCAAAGTAACCGCCTATAAGGTGAAGATAAGGTGAAAACTATTTTCGATTTATTTAACAATTTTTTTCTGCCTTATAATAAAGTACAACGAAATACTTTTTCGAAAGCTGAAGTGTGTTTATTCTACTTTCGACCGAAATGCTAAATATATGTGAAACGTAATTTTGTCCTTTAATAGGCATATCTTCAGTGCGGCTAAACTTAGTGAATGCTCCGTCCGTTGTTTTTCCAATGTATAATCATTTATATATATATATATATATATATGCATTAATATAAATACCCGAACATATTTTACATGCTTATGCACTTGGAGGTTTTTTTATTCAATTAATGTCATCTAAAGAAGAAAGCAATTTTATCATGGAAGTTTTTCATATAATGTGCATAAACTAAAATAATTGTATATATTTTGCATATACATTGTGGCTGATAACCTTATAAAAGTTTAATAACGATATTGGTCACTTGTTTGTAGCTTATAAATTCTCTCAAAGCTATTTGCTATTGCACACAAATCCTTGTATTTGTTTACAATCTTTGAAATAATGTATATGTGGTTGGCCGTTTTAGCTCCGTCTGTTTAAGTTAATTCTCAGTTCACTTGAAATTTAATATATGTCTGGGTTTATGTATATTCTTATATATACTATATATGCATATATATGCATATATATATATATATATATATATATATATATATATACATGTGTGTGTGTGTGTGTGTGTGTGTATGTGTGTATGTGTGTTTGTAAAAGCGTCTATTAAAGGCTGACTAAATGTAAAAGAAGATGAAGGTATAATCTGAAAGATGTATGCTATGTACGGCCCTGGGTTTATGACCAAGACTCGGTAACGTTGGCTATGTACACTGACATATGTATGTCGAATAAGCTAATGCCAAAAGCAAATAGATAAATTTATATCCTCAACCAAAGAGTTCGACAATATATCAATTTTTTCATTTAGTTTGTAACGTTAAGAAAACTGTTCGCCGATCAACTAAATAAATTCCATTTACTTTTGATAAACCTTTAATGAGATTTCATACTTTATAGGGCGGATTCATCTCTCGATCTTTGTCGAATTCTTTTTGACTGTTTTAACTGTAACCATCAACTTCTTTGAAAATTTGAAAAATTGATATAAAATTAAATTTCCATAGAGTCTCTTAGTCGTAATGGCTACAAATCCGAATTGCTTTAAATGTTGCCTTAAAGCTTAAAAAATCCGTATAAAAATTACAAAATTTAAAATTAAATTTTTTTTTTTTGTATACGTCAAGTATACATCAAGTTGAACGCCATTCTAACCAACCAGTCGCTTTATGTTAGATACGTTATATGCTTGGGAAACAGCATGAGTTGCTTACAGTTTGCATTAAGGAATAACGAAATTTTTTTTTTTCACAAAATGTTCGCAAAACGAACTTAGAAAGTATTTTTTACTTACACGACTTGTTATATGCGACATGAATGGCATTTGGTTCGTAAAAGCGTTCCTTACAATTAAATTAAGTTTGCATTTTGCAATTTTTTTTTTGCTCGTTGTTAAGGGATACGAGAGATTCGTTTAGACTGACATAATGTTGGTTTATTCGTTATAAATAGTGCATATATGTATGTAGGAAACATCCATAATATATACGTTTATATTTACACGCGTGAGTGGCCATGTATTATATACATATATATATATATATATATATATATATACGTATATATATATATATTATTCACTTTCATTTGTGAACTTGAGTAAATTGTTCAGTTCTTAAAAGCAACGCTTACAGTAGATTGTTTGTAGACTTGCGCACACACACACGTATTATGCATAGAGATATGGATAAGTTTATAGATAAATGTATATATATACACATATATACATACATAGTTTTGTATGTTTTGTATGTGTGAACTTATCTTTTGCATACGTATTTAGCTGGTTGTAGTTTATGGCTTTTGTGTGGCCAGTCTTTGTTAAATATGGTAACAATGCTGTCAAGACTTTTAACATTAAAGTTGACCACTTTCAAATGAACGTCAATTTATTGCAACTGTTCAGTCAAGTATTTATGCATATACGTACATCGAAGATGGCAGTCCGGAGTCAATTTACGTGCATGCATATAGGAAAGGCCCGATTTTCTCATTTTCTCATTTACAAAAGAGAGAATGATTGGCGGTAGAATCGATATGATTATAATGGTTCTATAGTTCCTTTACTTTATTTTCTCTTTTCTCTTTTCTCTTTTTCCCTATCTTTTTCTATTATTTTTTGCACTTTTTTTCGTTAGTGTAGCGCTCATGTTTTTATTATTGTTTTTACGTTCAAAGATTAATTGGGATTAAGTTGTAAATTCATTACAAGTTACAAAATTCTTTACCTACTACTACTAAAAATGAAACAAGTCATTAAGAAGCAAGCATAGAAAAAGGAAATTATAAAAAGTTTGAAAATAATTTTCAAGCACTTATGCAAAAAAAGAAAATGCTAATCAGCATTAGCGTCAATTTATTACAAATAGTATAAATGGAATATCTTCCTTACTCTTTAGCTATATAGTTGAATGTGTTACAATGCATTGTCTAAAATGCGTTAAGTCAAACGATAAAAAATTTGCTTTATATAAATATATGTATTCTTTAAAGTCTTCTAAAAATAGTGCCTTCATTTCGATATTCGATTGATCTTTCGAAAAAAGATGAAACAATTAATACAAAAGAAGTGAAGGGTTTAATAAAAGTTAACAAAACTACTTTAATCATTTCTTATATTAGAAGAGATTTTTTTTTTTTTTTTGCTTACATGGGCGGCGTAAAGATCCAGAGATAAGTAAAGAATTTAAGGGAAAGAGAAACATGGTAATTTAGTATAATATCTATTTTTTTTTTTTTTTTTTTTTTTTAAGTGAAAATTATAAAAAGGAAAATGTCAGCAGTTTTGATCATCAGTTCTTGTTGAAAAATTCAATTACAATACGCAATATATTACGTATGGCCTTAAAGTATTAGAGAATAAAAATAAATAAAAAAAAAAAAAAAGTAATACTGATCCTCTAGAATGACAGGTGATTTTCTCGATAATCATGTAAAAATTTCATTTTCATTCGATTAGGTAGCCGTATTAGGGATAATTTCATAAAATATTTGATGCCTAAGCAGCTTATACGTTTAAATTATATTGCACTATTGATTTGTAGATAATATGCACAAGTAAATAAGCACGTGTCTCTAATCATTATTCCAAGTGATAATTCTTACAATTTTGTCTTTAATCTATTATTCTAAGGTTTTTGAAATATTCATAAATTTTGAAATTTAAATCATATATAATTGTATATCGTATTTTATCTATATATGTCGTTAACGATACATGTGTAGGGGAATTTGCTTTCTTTTCGCTTTACTAAATTATACATATATATATATATATATATATATATGTATATATATATATAGATTGAACATTTCTAATGAGTTTATTTATATTTTAGAAATTTTGTTCAATAATCTTCCAAATTGCAATTTACATAATTAATATTCATGCATTTGGGGAAAACTTGCCGATAAAGTTTCCAGTCCTTATCACCATATACACACTGATATTCATTTAAGTTCGAGCATCGTGCTAGTTAAAGTTCAAATATGCTTTGAAAGGCTTACTAAGTTGGCAAGTAATTGAGTTTCTTACTCATATATATATATATATATATAAATGTATATACGTATATGCATATGTGTATGCGTTTACATATATGTATATTTTTATATCTACACATTTTCGTCCATCCACACATACACACACACACATATATATATATATATATATATATATATATATATATGCATATATATAAATGTATATATATTTTTTTGCATATACCCACAAGTCTGTGTGTTCATATATTGGCGTACACATTTATACATATCTATGTACATAAATATGTATATCATGTTTTAAGAATGTTTGTGCATAAGATGGTAACGAAAACAAGTATAATCTGTTATAAAAAAATGTTAACTTATTTTATACATTTTTAATGTACTCGTACCCCCGTAGCCCATATTGCTTAAATATTAGTGTTGTTTGTGAACAAAAAAAAAAAAAAAAAGTACTTCGATGCTTATGAGATTCGCCTCTAAATGAACATGACTTTTTAATATGGCTTAACACTTTTTTTCTTTCTTTTATTATATACAAGTTTAATTGAAAGTTTATTGAAAACTTTCGCATATATTGAGTTTGAGTCTTCTCTATGTAATATTTATACATACATGTATACATGTATAAATGAAGAACTTATTTATATACTTGATTTGTATGTTCATAAAAACATACATTTTTCGGCTACAAACTGGTCATGGTATTACAAAATATACATATATACAGAAAAGAGTATATACGTGATCGCTCATTCTAGAGATAAACTTATATTCTATATATATTGTGTTAAGATATTACTTAACCAAATTGAACCATTTTCATAATAAAACAATAGCATCTCTAACTCAAATTTACAATTGTATGAATTTTGAGTATTTTGGGGAAAATTTAGTTTTGGACTATTGTTCACATTTTAGAAACATATATATGTATATATATATATATATAGACAATAGCATAGACAAGAGCATTGTACAACGAAGACATACGAGGATGTACGTACAAATCTATATATAAATTGCATAACTTACCGCATTTCATTTCTTGTTCTTCTTCTTCGACCGCACGTAACACAGCCGAATTGGCTAAATTGCCAAGTGGTTTACTAACTTGTTCAGCTACAGCAATCCTGCAACGACAAAAGAAAGACGATTACATTAATATCAATTTATTACGGTAAGTAATTAAACTGCATTTAGTTACTCATTGATTTAAGTTTTGACAACATTGACGGATTTCTCTCTCTCTCTCTCTCTCTCTCTCTATATATATATATATATATATAGGCGGTTTTTTTTTTTTTTTTTAGGTAAACTAAATGACATGCACGTAGAGCGTGCAGTGATTCCTCTATTCACGAACTCATATAAAATCTATTAAGGGAATAACTGTACTTTTTTTTTTGATTCCCAAAAATCTGTGCCGTCTATTTGAGAAATTCTTAAGCCAAACATTAACGGTGAGTATTTATAGTTTGATTGATTGTAGCTTTATGTTTTGATTTTTTTGATTATCTAATGATAACTATGAAGATTTCATTTGTAAATGTTAAGATAATGAACGCACCTTTACCTTTCAAATTCACTTTGTACGATTCGGGCATGGTTTTTCGAGTAGTAAGCACTTTTTGGATTTTACCGATAAGTTTGTCGTTTTTTAATTGTTGTAGGTCAAACCAAAAGAGAAAGAGAGAGAGGACTTTGTGTTTATTTTTTTTTCAGACATACAGATTAAGAAATTTGGGTTTGATTGGCGCAACTCAAGGCAAACTCTATAGTTACATTTTTTTACATATAGTAAGTTTGTGGGGATTTATGCAACACCTAGAAAGACTCGCCTTTTTTTATATCAATCGATTCAAAATAATTCTCTAAATCGACTTAAGTCTAAATAGTTTTCTGTTCAATTTTCGAGAGATATTTTGGGAAAAATGTTGTAACACTCATATAAAAGCTTAGTTAAGTAAAAAAATAAAAGGAAAGAAAACTTGCCATCATTAGTATTAGTATTGAACAAAACTGGATGAAAAAAATAACCTGAATATGGAAAATGTGATGTGAAAAAGAAGCAGGTGAACATCTTTATAGAAAATTACTCTTTATACGGCAATGAGATCTAATTTTTCCAGTGATGCTAACTCTTTACGTCTTTCTCTTTCCTCACTTCCATCTGATTGTGAACGTGCCACACGAATAGGTAACATCCCCTGAATGATTGGTCACCATATTACAGAAAAAAAAAAAAAAAAAAAAAAAAATTTTTTTTTATGATGAAAACTGTGTTTGGTCTCGAGTGTAATAATTCACTATATTAAATTTGGATAACATACGTCTGTCTGTCTTTCCGATCTCTTCCCATATAAGAGTGACTGTGATACTTTTCTATATGACGTTAACGCGTAACAAATGATATTTCATAAAAACGATAAATACAGAATTGTATTAGGCAAAGTAAAATAGGGTATTTAATTACTGTAATTGCCGGTTTAAAAAAGTTTTAGCATGTTTTATCATTGTAATAATTATAAAGTACTTGAACAATAAATTGCGCTCAAATTGCATGCGGTAAAGCAATATGTGTAATAACAAATTCTGAATGATATATTTACAGCGAACACATAATATTTTATGGGTATTATCTTTAAGGCATCTCGGATGCATTATATATCGTATTGTTACAAACGCAATGATGTAGTCAGCGAAGCCGTCTTTCATGCTATATATTGAATTTGAAAATATATCAACAAAAGCCAAGTGATCGACTATGAATAATTAATTAATCCAGTTTGCTATACGCCCATAATAAATAATTGCATTTAAATGCAGTTAACCATTATGACACTTTCACAAGCACAAAGTCAACGTTATACAATTGCGTATGCACGACGCACACATGGATATCATCGTTCATTGTTTAATTGTCCATTTATATATATATATATATGCATATGTATATGTATATGTATTTGTATGTGCATAAAAATTTATACAAATTATATATATAACATTCTGCTGAACATAAATAAAATCATCTGTTTTTTATATATATATATATATATGTATAATTCACATTTAGAGGATAGGGTTATATTAATTGAAGAATTTTGTTTGTAACATGCAGCATTAAGTCTCTTCGTTATACATATATTTGTTTCAGAGCGGCATCCGGCAACTTGTGTATTTGCCCCTATTTTTCACAAATTCAGATGCGATATTCTCAAGAAAAAATTTGAATTGTAGTACAAACATTTTCACATTATGGCAAAAATTACCTATGGAAAGCTAAGTCGGCCTACACTACTACGGTACACTATCAAAAATTACTCTTTATAGATGCGTTCCCAATAAATTAGCGATTTTTAGATATTTCCCTCAGCCGGTGAGTATTCAGTATTCAGCAAATCGAAGCGTATATCAATTTGTTTATTTATTTAACTGATTGTTTATTACTTATATAGAATAAATGCAATGTATATGTGTGTTATAATGAAACTGTTGAGTTATATGTGTATTTAAGCTAGCACACACACACACACACACACACACACACACACACACACACACACACATCATCATTATCATCATGACTGTATTGGGCTGTAAGACAGGGTCGTACGTAAGCAATTATTTTATTAGAAATTTTGAGATTTTTTTTTATTTCAATAGTTTTTACGCACAAAACTAAGTTCCTAAGCATATATACGATGGCCGACATAAAGGCATTATTAAGCACTATTACCTCCATCCATTCGTGGCGAGCATTACTACGGCACTGGCGTAGAGAACGTAGACTTTATTTTAAATAACGTGGAACAAATTAAAAACCAATTAATTTATCATGGCGCTTTCTCTTCTTCTTGTTTTTGTTGAAATAAAATAATTTTTTTTTTTTTTTTAGTTTTATTTTTTTATTTTTTTTATCATTGACAAATTTGTGTTAACAGTATTGCACCCGAACAAGTGGTCAAAGATTCCAAAGAGATTAACGGCTGCATTTCTTGTTACGAACAAAAAAAAAAAAAAAAATAAAAAAAAAAAAAAAAAACAAAAAAAAAAAAAATTTTTTTTAAATAAATTTAATTGATTTATTTTTAATAAATAAATCTTTCATTCGAACACGTCTATAAGTATTTACATGCAACTCCTGGCTGTAAATCTTTGATTGTTTATATTAAAATTTATAGCGCTGGCAGTATCTGTCCCAAAATCGAGACATGGTCTTTCTTTCATTACAATGAGCTGTTAACCCGATCTTGTAAAGTTCAAATAATAATGAAATATAATTGGACGGACATTACATTGATAATAATATTAGGTTGTTCCGAAAGTAGTTCCTCCTTTTTTTTTTGGTTCAAATTAAGGACTAGTTCGAATTCGATTTTAATCTAATTTAATCTATCCAACGATCGTGAATTATAATGCGGCAGCTGAGATCAATGAATGCCTTTATTTCATCGTCGTCTGCTCCAGCAGGCCCTTTAGCACCTGGCAAATCCTTAGCATCAAGATTTTTGGAACGAAATTTTGCAAGCCAGCTTTGGCATTGTCGTTCCATTCACGCACATTCAATCAGTTTCTTTTACGCCTTTTTCGATAGCAAGTAGTAGGATATGCCCAAAATATTGCTTCCGATTATCGATATTTGCTTGTTTGTCATACGTGTAAGCTATTGCGTAGAATGCAACTTTTCCGATTGTCAAAATACATTTTAACAATGCAGGTCATGCGTGAAGTTTTCAATTCATTTTTTCCATTGGAAAAATAAAAGAAAAACGAAATCATTGTCCCAACACCTGCTTGAAAAATATAGTTTCGTTTGCTTTACTCGTTTCAATATCAGCTCACTATGACTTTAGATTACTCGCGATAAAATGTTCGGCTCTTTTACCTTAGCCCAAAAGAATGCTAAGAGGCGAGTTTAACATTGCACTCGTCTTTTTACCGAAGCTGTCCCTTTTTTTTAATTTTGCATTTTCGCGATATTTTTCTTTACCTGCAATCACTTTTTGAAGGGAACACATCATCTCATATGATTCTTTTACGGCAGTTGCAACCTTTCCATAGTTTCAGTAAAAATTCTTCAATTTTGTAAATCATTTTTAAAAAGTGAGAAAGTTATGTTATTCAAGTAAAGTACTTTGTTAATATTTGAAAATTTTTATCATTATTTAGAAAATAGGAAATAAATTTCTGAAAATTATCGTTTTTTAAATAAGTTTTGTAAAGCGCATCTATAAAAACAGTTCTCGCTCAGTCGATTAAGTTGTTTGTCATTAATAGAAAACTTTCGATTGTGATTTTTATTTATACGCTTCAGTTGGCGATTTATATTTCATTTGGACATAATTCCAGCATGAAATATTTGCCTTAATGTTTTCCTGAATAATTAGAAGAAAAAAGTCAAACTAATTGCATAATGTATCTTAACTTCAAAAAGGAAATAAGAGTAGACAAGTGTCATAACAATGCTCAAGAAGTTTTTCTGTCGAAAGTTTCAAAAGTCAGAAGCGCAAAAGTTATCCCCTTCGTTACAAACGTCGAGAATCAATCTTGAAAATTATTTAATTGACTATGTTGGAGAATAATAAACGTATTTTTTTCGATAGCTCGTCTTTGAATGATATTCGTTAGGAGCGAGACCGGCCTGAAAGCCTAAGCAAAAGTGGGAAATATTTGTCTGCTAAGCTCTTCAATTTCTCTGTCAAAACCGCTATTATTATTATTATTATTATTATTATTATTCTTTTAATTTATACACTAGTTCTCTTGTTGTGTGAAAGCATATTGGGATTACACTTATCTTGGCAGCACCAGCAAAGACATTGGGTAGACCAACGTTTGAATAATTTCGAGTTAAGTTCATCTGTCAGTCTGTCCGGTATAGTCTTCCAGAATCAATTGAAAAACAAATCGTTCTATATGGATGTACGCTGAGTGTTACAGGCATCCACATAAACTTAGTCTTCTCTTCTTCTTTTTCTTTTTCTCTTCTTATGATAGAAATGCAAATAGGTGACTATGATATTCTATATGATATACGATAAAAATAATAGAAATAATTCTTTTGATTAAAGAAATTAAGTACTTTGATGCAACAGTTTTTCAAAAATTTTATTATAATTTTTATTTA